TCCGATCACGTAACGTAATATGTCAGTGGTTGTCCACGTTTGCATCACATTATTCTGAATCCTCATAATTTTCTTGCACGACAGTTGTTTCTTGCCAAAAAAGGAAAAGAAAGTTTTGGATATTACCAAAGCAACCATTCTTTTTTTTTTGGCATTTTAAATTTGAAACTTTCAATGAACAATTCTTAAAAAAGAAGCTGCAAGCCATGTGCATTAGTTCCTCAATTAATTCCGCAATACACAATCAAACCTTATCCAGCGCCAACAGAGTCCAAATTAACTTAACCTCCACATGAGGCTACGTTTCTATTAGAATCTTTAATATTCTACACCCAAAAAAAAAGCTATGATCGATGATTTCGCAACGGCAAACTAATTTATTTTATCGGAGATTTTAGAGTGCTTTTAATTAAAATTGTCCTCTAGGAATTTCACATGTTGTAAGAATAACTGTTTATCATAGGTATGATAAGATGCCAAATATAATAAAAGAAAAATTGAAAATATATACCAAAAATCCGTTTAACATTTTACTTTATTCATAGACCAAAAATCCAATTTTCTTTTTTCAAAAAAAAAAAAAACGAATCAAAACTGAAATCCGGAATAAATACTCATATAGTATAATTTTGAGTACTCATATCTTTATCCTTATCAATGTGTAATTATACGAAAAATAATCATTGATATGATTATGGATATGAGATCAAATGCGATGATCCTAAATTATACAGAGAGGAGTGTGTTGTTCATCACGCGAGGAAAATATAAGCGTGATTAACGAATGATAAATTTGGATAGTAAACTAAATTACTACTAAAACGTAAATTACGTTACGTAATTAAAGAAGATAAGGTTACACAAAACCAAAAAAGATACAGTTGGGAAACTGGTGGGATTACATGAACCAAACTTCCAGCACCGATCCAGCGAACTTCGCCGTTTCTCTCAACCAATCACAATTCAACAAAACAAAAACCAAAAAATAATGGGCATTTGCAAAAATACCATTTTTTGTGTTTATATTTGCAAAAATGCTATTTTTGGTGTCTTTTTGAAAAAATGCCACTAAGTATAATTTTTTAGAACTTAAATCTTAAAATTCTAAACCCTAAAAAATATTTTGACCTCTAAAACCCTTTAAACCTTCAAAACTAAACCCTAATACAACATAATTAACCCAAACATAAATGATATAATGAATAAATAATTTTTAAAAAGTGGTATTTTTATAAAGATTATAAAAATGTGGTATTTTTATAAAATAACATTTGAAGAATGATATTTTTTTTAATTTCTCAAAAATAATCGAATTTTAAAAATATATTATTTTTTTAGTGGGCCTTGAAATTACAATATTGAGGAATCTCAAAATTTATAGGAGAGGTCAAGACTCATACACATGGCGTGAT